GGGTCGTAGCGGTCGAAAACCAAACGGTTTAACCAGCCTTCCACCTATCCCCTTAACACATGTGATGTGCTTTATATAAATAATCATTTTGAAAATAGAGCAATCCATATTTATATCTTTAGATAATAAAAGGCATATATTGGATTGAATAAAAGATTTATCTGCCAATATTTCGGTTGGCTGAACGCCAACCTTTATCAAGACATTACATTTTTGTATAAACAATCTCAGCGCCGTATTGCGTTATAAAACTATGGCGTTCAGCCAACCGAAATATTGGCAAATACATATTTTATTCAATACAATATATATCTTTATTATCTAAATGAATAATCATATATAATGACAACATTAGGATAAATACAAATATTTACTTTTATTAACCATTTATAATGCGTAACCTTTATATAATATATTTATGGTTTAACAGAAAGGGATTGCGTTTTTTGTTGTTTAAACTGATTTTAATTTTCAGGTTTATACTTTGTTATCATCTATTTGCAAAATCATATAGCATCCGAAGGCAAAATATTTTATTTATCTTTTAAGGAATTGTTATTTCTAAGAGAGTTTGTCGAAATTTTTCGAACATAAATTTCTCTTTCATCACTATAGATGATAATGAGCCTTCATCTCTCGAATTTCAAATTGATTAATGGCCAAGAGAATATCAAGAATGAAATGTTATTAAGATATACCTAAAATTGTTTTAAAATTCGGTTTTGTCTCGAAATTTTCCTCTTTAATGGGAAATATTTATTGTGAGAGACCTGTTTGACCTAGATTTTAAAAGTATACATCTGGAATCTGGCCATTGATATTTGAAGGGATTGTGTTGGTACCTGGAGGTGGTTGACTGAGAATTTGCGGACGGTGAAGTGAGGCCAGGACTCGACGGATAGGAGCAGGACCTGGACGTCGTCGCAGGTCTGTTCCTCTCCTTCCTCGGGCCAGTATCTGGCACAGTGGAACTGGAACATCACCATTTTTTTGTACTGTGGTGCTGAGACATTACCATTTCATCCTACGCTTTCATATCTATAATTAATGTTAATTGTATTCCTTATTTGATTGTCATTATATCTATGCATATCCTTGAGATCTATTGTTGCACATTCAGGCATATTCTTAGAATTCAGTGCATTTTTATTCTATTAGGGACTCAGATTATCAGAGGCATAACAATATGTACCTGCATGTACCTACCTTCTCGTTCCCCAGCTCGGACAACATCACGTCACCTACCTTCTCGTTCCCCAGCTCGGACAACATCACGTCACCTACCTTCTCGTTCCCCAGCTCGGACAACATAACGTCACCTACCTTCTCGTTCCCCAGCTCGGACAACATGACGACAGTGGCCACGGCTTGATCGTGGACCATCCGCCAGAAGTCACCAAGCGTGGACTCCAGAGGATCCTGGGTGACGATAAACAGAAGAGCCCGGTCGTATCCCTGGAACACATATACCACCGTTATCCAGCATCCATATACTCAAAGTAACATTTTTGACTTTGATAAACAAAAGCAACTAACAAATCAATAGCAAATATCTACGTATATGCACACTCTTTATTCAATATCTTTTATACTTGTATTTGCCTATTGTAAGTTAAAAAATAATTGGGATTCCACAGAAATGAAGAATATTAACAATTCAAATAATACTTGATACAAAAAAATGATGATAATACCAATTTTATATAGGTAAAGTATTAGAATAAATTTCTATAGGTGAATGGAGAGTTAGTTTACCTGGACGTAGGAAGCGTTGATGTAGTTGGAATGTTCTCGGGTGGGGATCTGAGGGAGGATGACCCGGTTGTCATCAACTGGAACGAGGATGAGTAAGTGAGGAGTCACATCACCTTACAGCGAGAGAGAGAGAGAGAGAGATTGAGATTGAAACTGATTTATACAAAGTAAATATAAGATTATATAAGGTTAAATACTAGAATAAATATAAATATGAATAAATATGATTATATAATGATAAATGTATGAATGAATAGATGAAATATATAAAATAATTGATAAATAGAGAGAGAGAGAGGGATGTGTAAATGATGGGACGTTAGTGGAATCCCGAGAAAAACATAATGATCATAACCTACATAGTAGAACGTGACGAAGCACTAACAAAATTTGAGGTAGGAAGAACAAGATAAGGAAGGTAATATGAAGTTCAATGCAAAAAGGAAGGTAACGAAGAGCAATGAGTATTCATGGTAAGAAGAACAAGATAGGGAAGGTGAGAAGAGACAAATAAAAAGGAAGGTAACAAATAACAATGAGCATTCATGTAAGAAGAACAAGATAGTGAAAGTGAGCTCAAGTTCAATGAAAAATGGAGGGTAATAAGGAAAAATGAGCATTCATGGTAAGAAGAACAAGATAGGGAAGGTGAGAAGAGACAAATAAAAAGGAAGGTAACAAATAACAATGAGCATTCATGTAAGAAGAACAAGATAGTGAAAGTGAGCTCAAGTTCAATGAAAAATGGAGGGTAATAGGGAAAATGAGCATTCATGGTAAGAAGAACAAGATAGGGAAGGTGAGAAGAGACAAATAAAAAGGAAGGTAACAAATAACAATGAGCATTCATGTAAGAAGAACAAGATAGTGAAAGTGAGCTCAAGTTCAATGAAAAATGGAGGGTAATAGGGAAAATGAGCATTCATGGTAAGAAGAACAAGATAGGGAAGGTGAGAAGAGACAAATAAAATGGAAGGTAACAAATAACAATGAGCATTCATGGTAAGAAGAACAAGATAGGGAAGGTGAGAAGAGACAAATAAAATGGAAGGTAACAGAAAGCAATGAGCATTCTTGGTAAGAAGAACAAGATAGTGAAAGGGAGCTGAATTTCAATGCAAAATGAAGGGTAACAAAGAGCAATGAACATCCATGGTAGGAAGAACAAGATAGAAAAGGTAAGATGAAGTTCAATGTAAAAAGGATGGTATCAAAGAGCAATGGGCATACATGTAAGAAGAACAAGCTATGGAAGGTGAAAAGAAGCTCACTACAATATGGAAGGTAACAGATGAGAAACGCAATTCCAGGTGAGAAAAGTAAGATAGGAAAAGCAATATAAAAGTTATAAGCAATATGAAAGTAACATAGAACAATGGGCATTTCAAAGTTAGTGGAGCAAGACTTAGCGATGGTAAGTAAAAGATCAAGGCAGGATCCAAAGTAAGAGGGTCACCTTAAAACGATAGTTAAAGAAGAAAGAGAGAGAGAGAGAGAGAGAGCTCCAACATCGGGTCGTTCGAGTCAGCCTCCACCCTCTTTTAGAGATTACTCGGCCGAGTTCGATTAAATCAGCCCTGCCAGGCTCCTAGAGAGAGAGAGAGAGAGAATGCGCGCGCGCTATATACTCTATTAATAGGATTGGCTTTATAAAGAAAACAAGAGAATTTATGAAAAAAATGAAAGAAGAATTCTCTTGGTTAAAGGAAATGAATTTACAATCCAAGAGTTATACAGACACACAGAACTTACATGGAATAATGAAATCATAGCGATTTTTGTGCTTGTGGACTTCAGACTTTCCTTCGGAACACTGCCGTGGGTCTCTTGTTATCTCGCTCAGCCTCTGCACAGGGTCAGATTTGTCTTTTAGCATCTTGTTAATTGAATGGTTCAATCGCATCATCAAGATATATCTAAGATATGCCAATTCATCCATTACATGTCCATAACGTCCAGTCACATGATCAAATCTATCAAAGTCATCACAATCATACAGTACAAGTTCATAACGTTCAATTATATGGTCACATAAGGTGTATAAGTCATCACAAACCATTCAGTACAAGTTTACAACGTCCAGTCACACGATCAAAAAAAAATCTACCAAAGTCATTAAATCATTCAGTACAAGTTCATGACATCCAATCACATGGTCATAAGAAGCTATTACAATCATACAGTGAAAATCCATAACGCCCTTCAAATGATAGTAAGATGTATAAGTCATCACAATCTATCTAGAACAAGTCCATAACGCTCCGTTACATGATATACTCAAGTCACCATTATCTATCCAGTACAAATTCAGTTAGAGGAAGCAGCAAGGGACTCACATCAAACTCCATATCTATACACCTGCGGAAACCGTCGGCGCTGCCCTTAGTCTGAAGTTGGAGGTATTGGTCCCTAAGATGATCGGCCAAGACCTCAGTATCCCCGAACAGCGACTGCTCCATCAGGGCTCTGTACAGGAACATGTACTGTCTCTGAAACATCCCACGTGGGTTGTCACACAATGCCGCCAGTGTCGCCGCGACCTACCAGGGAGTTGACAAGCCGAGCGCGACACTTCCTCAGGCGACACACGGTCATGAAGACGTCTGCTTGTGATTGGTCGCGCATCTGTCGCAGCAGGCAGTCCAGTGCAACGAATGTACCGGTCCGGCCCACCCCGCAGCTTCAGATGTCACAACACATCTTTGATTTCTTTACAAGATTCAGCACACTTTGTAGTAAACATTTTTGTATTTTCATAATTAAGATTCTCACATTATTCATGATGATTCTACAATGTTAAGTACATTTCCAATGAAGTTTTATCATCTCAATTACATTTTATAAGATATAAATAATTAACACATTCTATAAGTTAATCCTATTCGAAGATATTTTAGCGCGAAGTTTTCTTTAATAAAACAACGTCCTACTGTCCTTACTGCAATGAAATATTGGGAGAGTCTGACTCATCAGTGGTGAGCCCTCCCCAAATAGTTTTTTTTATTGCAATGGGGACAGCTGGAAAGATGTTTCTTTAAACAGACAAATTCTCACGCTAAAATAGTTTTAAATATAACTTTGGCATTTTATTGTTAACAACCTATTTGTGAACTTCATATATACCATACTCAAGTAATTCTTCAGTAATTGAGTTGAAAAACGGAATTTTCTGTAATTCCTTAACATTATTTTGAGTCATTTTTATCTCTATCTCGCCAAATTAGCTTAGTCAATTAGATCGTCCATAGATAGCTCAGTTGGCAGAGCGGAGGACTATAGATGTATTGTCAACAATGATCCTTAGGTAGCTGGTTCAAATCCGTCCATTAGATTTGCAAAAAAGAGAGAGGGAAGAGATAGCTTTAAAATAAACACATCCCTACAGGCACAAAGAGTTTATTCCTTTTTTTTTTCCAGAAATTTGACAAGCATTCGAGTATGGTTCTTCAACGGGTCATATACCAAGTTTATTTATATTATGCAAATAAAAAGAAATGATTTTCTTAGCACTGGTATTTATTTGAAAGAAGAATATTGAGTTTGATAAACTCCGCTATGAACACACATTGATATAGGAATACGACATCAGGCCCCATATCTATACGAATATACATCATCACTATGTAAATAATCTTATTTGAATATTTCTTCTACAAGATAACACAGCATTCAATTAAGAGATTGGTTCTATAAAAGATCAAAAAATTGATACAAAGTTTAAATATGACAATCATACCCACCTACTATGTACCAAGAGAGGACCACGATTCGTACAATAATGCTCATTGATACGTTTCAGAAACCGCAGAATCCAGTGTGGGGCATCCAAAGAAATGAGATCTGTCCAGACAAGGTACTGGAAGTGAAGGACATCTCGGCGTTCCCCCAGCTGCCATCACAGAGAGTTGGAAAAACTCGAGGTAAAAAAGCTGATCCCTACCTTGAGATTCTCCAACTCCAGTCGACGGACCAGGTAGTCGCAGTAACGTCGAGACGTCATCACGCTAACACGGAACATCTTCTCCACTTCCACGGCCCCGTCGTCTGACCAGTAGGGATAGCACTTGATCTACACCATACCATGTGTTTTAAAAAATGTGTTGAAAATAGAGCAATCCATTTTAAATACTTTGAATTATTAACGCTTATTTTGGATCAAAATATTTATTAAAACTTCCAATATTTCGATGAGGCTGCTCGCCTATCTTCCTCGGGGATAATAACTTTGTAAACAAATCATTCACGTGATGTACGAGTGGCGAGGTTTTTGAATAAATCAGATTGGTGTAGCTAAACCATTCAATGAAAATATAATTACTTTTTAAATTTTATATTTTATTATATATTATACTATACTTATATTATATTTATATACTATTGCATATATTCTAAAATTACTGTTTCTGTTTTATCTGTAGTTATGATAAGGGTATATCTATTCTTCTATTGATACTATTTTTGTTCTCTATAGATGCCCAGCTCTCTAGAAATAATATTGCATGTTTATATTGTATGTTTCTGTATAATATCTTAGAAATTTCAAAATCTGGTATATGTCCTTGTTTATTGCATGGTCTACTAGGAGTGATAATGGGCTATTATTTTTTAAGGCTGCCAAATATCATGAAGCAAGTTAAATAAACGTTTAGTGCATTTTTTCTCCACTAGATGGTGCTCTGTCATCTCGAAATGCTCATGTGAGTCTGGTCAGGATATGCCTTTTTGTTTTTAATATCAACACCTGACCATTTTTATTTTTATTTTTTTTCTGTTGTTTTTCATATATATATATTCGTGGATGGCTTTTCTTGATTTATCAAGAAAATGGATTGGCCAAATATCAGGGAACAGTCAAAATCAATGTTTAGTTGATTTCTGTTCCACTAGATGGCGTTCTGCCATCTAAAAAGCACATGTGCTCGTGGTCAGGATATGCCTTCTTTATTTTTAATATCAATACCTTTTTATTTTTTTCTCTTGTTTTTTCATATATATCTATATTAATAAAATGGAAATTTCATAAGTGTTGTTCACTAAAAACTTTCGTTACAATGCATCAATTTCGACCAAATTTTCAACATTTATGTAAAACGAGATGGAGCAGGTTTTGCTTAACATCAAAATATTTTTCCTAACTTTAACATGCGTAACTTCGCTGTTATCGATTAAATACAAAAAAAATCAACAGAGTTAATTTTATTTATATATAAATACAAAAAAAAAAAAAATTCAGCAATTCATTCAACTCAATCTAAAAAAATATTCAAAACAAGCAATTTTAAGATAACACCATATGTAAAACAGTCGGCCAAGAAAACAACAACGATATTACATCTTTCTCACATATTCACACACAATCTTGATTAATAATTAAAACTAATCTTTAACATTGTTTATTATACTTCATAATATATAATATTCGTTAGGCAAACTTTCACTCGGATAAAACCCGGGCGAAGCCGGGTACACATCCGCTAGTATATATATATATCGCTTCTCCCGTTAACATAGACGCTAAAACTAATCGCTATCTATTGACCATCTCCTCAAACTAGCGAACTCAGTTCGGTAACAAATCCACAACATCAATTTTGGCAAACTGAAACGTGTCCACCTGGAGACCATGGTTTTGGGGTAATGGCCAAGAAAACTCTTCACCTTTTGATTTTGCTTTTCTTTACTCCAGATGATTATATTCAAGTTATAATGTACGTATTCTCCCTAAGTTAGCCTTTCGCTGCAATTTGTAGTCTTTTTTTTTTACCATTAACGAATAATAATAAAGTCGTTTAAAAATCTATAAACAAACTGTTTTTATATGACATTCTTATAATGCTGGCTGTATTTTAACTTTGATTTGCTTTATTCGTCTCTGTTTCCATGTGATATTTTGTCAATTAGACACACCTCGTGGACCAATTAAAGAAACTCACTGGTTTAACGGTCATCGAGATGGTACATCAAGCTCAAGACAGAGATGTCTGGCGTCGTATTGTGTTTGGGATGTAATACATACAATGGGTCACAACGTTGGCGAATAGAATGATACTAGCCGAATGACCCGGGCAACGCCCGTGTTTTACCCGATTGAATGCTTTGATTCAAATACTATTTGTTACAATTATAAATTGACGCCTTAAATAAATGCATATATTAGTTAATAACTATAGCCTATGTGCTTTATCTGTCTATGTACTGTTGGATTCCGCAGGCGTCTCTTACTGGGAAAAAGAAAGAGAGGATTCCATTTAGTTATTAACTAATATATGCATTTATTTAAGGAGCGACCCGCTCCAACACAATAGTTACAAAAACCAAAAAGCGAGTGGGGGGGCAAAGTCAAAAACAAAGTGTCTCGCGTAGTGGCGGCGCCATCGTAGCCACGTGATCGTAGCCAACCAATAGGAGAGCCCCATTCAAAAAAAAAAAAAAAAAAGCAAACGGTGACAGAGATGATGACGCTCGTAACTGTATACAGAATTACTAATCTGTACATATGCAGGGAGATAGCCGTACCTGTCCTTGCTCCTCCACCCCAGTGAGCATGGCCACCACCGTCACCCCCCGTTCCCACACCATCCGCCAGAAGTCAACCACGGTGACCTCCAGGGGACCTTGGGAACAGATGTAAACTTGCTTCTCTTCCTACACATTCAGATATTTTCAAATATTATGAAATAATTGATTGAAAAAATTTGAGGAAAAATCATCATGCTTTTTAGGAATAATGTGAAAAAATAGTACAAATGTATTTTATTCGCTCCTGACGAGGTCAAAAGATTTTTGTCGAAACGTCGAGATAATAAAAAGATTTACTGGCCGAAGTGTCTTGAATTTTAAGAGCTATGAATGCCGGCCAGACAGAATTTATCTTTACGATAAATGTGAAATTGTATTGGGATAAGGTTCATATATTAAGAAAGAAAAAAGGGGCATCTCCTTAACGCCCAACTGAATGTTGCTATTTAGTATATTGCCACGTGGAAAATTAGGGAAGACAAAAACTTCAGGCAAGGACAAACTATGAGTGATAAACAAAAGATAAGCCACGAGGGAAATTTACAGAGTAGCAAATTATAAACATAAAAATGACCACTCTGTTAATAAAATAATAAAATTAATAAATACTCTGTTACAATATTTATATAGTTGATATTTATTCCGATAGATGGCGCAAGCCATCAGAAACTTTCAGTTGTACGATACAGAGATGCCCCTTTTTTCTTTCTTAATTTTAGGGATAAGTTCGATTTTTTTTTGGAAGGATTTAATTTTTAGATCTTAAGTTGAAACGTAAGTAGTTTGGTTATCCTGAATTATCAAGTAAATGGATTGTCTAATAAAGTGTTGGATCGGTGGTTCACTCAGATGCAGGATATATTTATATATAAGTTTTATAATATATCACGACATAGCAAGCATCCAGAACAAGGGAAGACATAACAGGAAGTGAAAGGAAAGGTATAGCGCCTTTAGTGGTAGTGGTTGGAAGCTCCTCAATGCCACGTCGTCCTGTGACGTAGGCGCGCTGTATTTTGAAGGAAGCACGCAGTTCAGCATAAAGTATGGAATGAAGCTAAATCAACGTTTTAGTCTGCAATTATTCCAATAAATAGCCCATTTCCATCTAAAATATGTGAATATTTAGTCTAATTCAGCCTCTGAAGCTTCTCTACCTTCCCTTCACCCACCAGTATATTGAATGAGAAGTAGGTCAGGGATTGAGATGAATAAAAAGACATCTTAACTTTCAAATGTGCTTTTTAATCATAGGTTTTTTATTCAGAAAAAAGTGTCCAATGCGGGATTCGATCTCGGGGAATGCCCGTCTATCATTCGTATTCAAGGATGATTATAAAATATTGAGACAGAAAAAAAAGACAGTGTGGTACCTCGACCAGGCTGGCGTTGATGTAGTCAGACCCTACCACACCTTCCACAGGGGCCAGGGTCACTCGGGTCTGGTCATCTGGTCACAGATCACTTTGTTAGGGAATTAGGAAGAGAGTTGTAAAATATACGTGGTAAATAATAAGACGTTTTGTAAAATGTTTCTGAAGCAAGAAGTTGAATATTCTTTGAGTGTGAAAGTTTGCAAAAAAATAGGAACTTACCTTCTATTATTAATTTGTTTATTTTTCTTTGTCGTCTGTTTTCACAAGTTGAATCTGGTTAGAAAATGTATAAAAATTAGATGAATCTTTTGTTGCCTTAAATACGAGATAATTAACTCGTTTCTATATATATCTAAAAATGTTTAATGTTTAATAAAATATTTTATAAATCTGAGAGTTGTTTTCAAAAACGATCCAACAGTTTCCTTGCTCAAATTTATGCAAA